AAATGACAAGATTTGGCAAGTGATTGGATTTGTGGGGTGAAGAAGATAAAGGGTGATACCAGATTTCCAAATCTGGATTGCTGAAGTGATAATGGTTTTGGACAGTACTGGGCAAGTTTGGAAGAGATGTGGATTTGGGGGAAAGATAAGGTCATCTGAGGTTCAGATCCCGTCTCATCTATCCCTGCTTATGCTGTTCCACCCATTCTGTCTCTCCCAAAATGAAAAGAAAGAAAGTGGGGGTTCTTCCTCACTCGTCAGTACCCCGGCAGAGAGCTCACTGTAAGTGGGATGTCAGGGGATGGTTATGTTGGCTGGAGGACTTCCCAATGGTACCTGGGTATGTGAGCATAGTAGTTAGGGTATGACTGTCTAGAGTAGCCAACATAGATTCAGAAGGAGGGAGGGCAAAGGAAGGGTTTTGGGAGCTTTCACTATGGGTGGAATGGAATGGGAGCATATGGGTGATTAAGGATGGGTGTGGTCATGTTGGAAACCAGTGCCCATGATTGCCTATCTTGGGAAAGGTGGGATGCAAACCATCTACCCACTCTCTTATTGATTCCTCACACAACCTTTAGAATAGGTTGGGGTAGTGATACCTACTTTGGAGACCACTGCCACTGGATGTAAATAGATTATAAGAAAATTGGGGCCAGGGGACAATTTAAGTTTTCCCTACTTGTAAGTAATAGGTTCTATCCTGGTGTGACTGACTTTCACATGCCAGTTGATTTATCGAAGGGAATATTGAACTGACTGAGCTGGAGGACCCATGGCGCCATGGAACAGTGGTACTCTTGTTATTGCTGAGGGGAGCCTTCTATTAGCATTGATACTGGAAGCCGTAAACCCTCACCCTTTCCCTCCTACTTGGGATGGGACTCCCCTAGGAGCAGGAAGCAGAGGTAGGTGTGGGGGGCTGCACCTGTGGCTCTCAGGGTGGTGGGGCGCTACACAGAGCTCTACTATGATTTTTTTTTCCGTTTTGACATCCCCCACAGTGGGAATGAAATCACTAGTACATCTGCTTGACCTGAGTCCGGTCAGCAGGCCAGCTTCTCCTTTCCCTGCATTTGTATCATGATATTATGCCTCAGGCTAGAGTTCATGAATCTATACATTGGATCCCTGCAGCTTTCTCCTTCTCTAAGCTCCTTTCTCTGTCTTCATGATGAGGTCTAGAGGTTAGGGGTCCTGGAATCATAAAATCATGACACGCAGGTCCTGCTCAAAAGAATTCGACCCAAGCCTTCTTTCAGCCAAAAACAAGGTTTATTGAAGATTTGCCATATTAGCTAGACTCTTAAGGCATCTGAGCATCTATGGGCTGTTGGCTCCATTGTGAAAATCTGTGCAGTGGCTAGTTTCTAAGAATCAGAGCATCTTAATAGAGACAAGATGGACCTTATATACAAAAAGACTGTGAAGGCTTCTAGGAGTGGCCAAGTAGTTTGGGGTGACGGGAGGAAGGGTCTAAGGAGATGTGGATGGGAGTGGCCAGTAAGCTGGGGTGAACAGAACTCCTGGGACCTGGACAATGGAGCCCAGCTAGGATTAAGTGTGGGAAATGGCCAGGAGCCATAGGGAGGTAAAACAATGGAGGGGAGATTGGGTGTAGCCACAAGGAAAGGCCAGTTGATGGATTATAGCCTCAGGCGAACGCCAGAGATTTGGCCACATGGGAAAGTCCAGGGTTTTTTCCTTTCTGGGGCCCAGATCCCAACCCCATCATTCAGTCTCTATTTTTCTTGCTCCTTCCCTGCTGCTAACAAACATGCTCATTTCTTCTCCATCCTTAAAAACCATTCACCTTACACATAGCCAAACTCTTTAAAAAAAGAAAAACTACCAATACTCCTTGTGTCTACTTTCTTTACTCCTGTTCACTTCTCACCGCCTTGATTCTGACATCCATTTTCATCTCTTGCTAAGTCTGACAACCTTTTCTTAAGTCTTCATCCTTCCCGACCTCTGCAGCTTTTGAGACTGTTGCCAACCCTCTCTTGAATCCTATCTCTGGTGTGTTTCTCCTCCTTGTTTGACTGCTACTTCTCATCCTTTGTTGGATCATCATCTATGCTCTGTGCTCTAAGCAGCCCTCCTCGAGGCTCTATCCTGGGTCTTCACATGACTCTACAGGTGATTCCGATCTATGTATCCAGACCTAGCCTTTCTCCTGAGCTCCAACCAGTTCTCTATTGTATATCTCTAACCAGATGTCCATTAAGCATCTCAAACTCAACATGTCCAAAACAAAACTCATGATCTTCTCTCCTAAACTACCCTTGTTCCAAACTTTTACATTTCTCACCACTCTTCCAGTCATTCAGATTCACAACCGAAGGCTCATTCCAGACTTCCCTTTCCCTCACTGTCACCAATTGGTTATTTGATATTATTTCCGTGATATTTCTTAGAAAACATCCCCTTAAGTTTTATTTTTGTGTAAGTTTTATAATGTATGTGATAGTACAGTAGTACATTACATAATTTATAAAATAAAAACACTTGACACTTACTAGCTGTGTGACCCTGGGCAAGTCACTTAAGCCCAATTGCCCCCCAAAAAAAGTAGGCTCCCAGTTGGTCTCACCCCAATCCATCCTCCACCCAGATGTCAAAAGAATTTTCCTAAACTGTAAGAATGACCATGTCACTCCCCTACTTAGTAAATTCCCATGTCTCCCTATTGTATCTTTAGAATAAAGTAAGTTGATGTTGCTTTGGTGGGGTGTGTTGTTTGTTTTGTTTGTTTGGGGTTTTTTGGTTTTGTTTTTTTATCATTTAAAGCCCTTCACAACCAAGTCCCATTCTACTTTCCTAGACTTACTACATATCATTCACCTTCACAGAAAGTATGGTCAAACCACATTGACCTTTTTATGGTTCCTCATAGCACTCCCATCTCCCTGTCTTTATGCTGGCTGCTCCCCATGCCTGGAATGCTCTCCCTCCTGCCTTGACTGCTGACCTCCCTGGTGTCCTTTAAGTCCCAAATAAAATCCTGTCTTCCACAGGAAACCTTCCCTAGTCCTTCTTAATTCTAGGGCCTTCTCTCTCAATTATTTCCTTAATTATTATCCCATCTTATTTATACACATTTGTTTGTCTCCCCCATTGTAATAAGGAGATTGTAATCTCCTTCAGGACAGAGACTTGTCTTTTGCTTCTTTTTGTGTCCCCAGCATTTACACATAGTATCAGCTTAATAAATACTTACTGACTGTACATTTGCTTCTTAGAATTGCATGTTTCCTTCAGGGCTCAACTCAAGGATCCCCCCTCCCTCTACTTGAAGCCTTCCCTGGATGCCCTTACGGAGAGTTCTCCCTTAAAACAAATTCACTGTTGTATATGCTGTTTAGATATGCACACCCTTTGGTAGATTATGGCATGTTAGCCCCTCAAAAGCAAGGACTCTTACTTCTGAATCCCTTTTACCTGATGAGTGCTTTAAGCAATAAATGTTTATTGCTTTAGATCTTTCTTCTGCCCAAGGACTTTCAGTGGCCTTCTATTGCCTTTTAAAGTCCTTCCGAATCTGCCTTCAACCTGCATTTCCTACTTTTATTTCACATTATTACCTTCATGTACTCTGTGTTCTAACTAAACTTACCATCTTGGTTACTCCATAGACCACATAACCATTTTCGGCCTGCCTGTCTTTGCACAGGCTGTCCCCTATGCCTGGAATGGTACTCCTGCCACCCCTCTACCTCTTTGGCCATGGCCTACAAGAAACCTTTTCTGATTCTTCTTAATTGGTAATGCTTTCTTCAGATTAGGGTGTATATTCTTTTCTGTGTGTATCTTATAGTTCCCCCTTTCCTCCCAATAGAATGTCCTTCAAGGGTGGAAACTCTTCTTAATTTTGTATTTATAGTTATGCCCAGAGCCTAGTTCAGAATTTTGTAGGCACTTGAGAAATACTTGTTGAATTGGATTAGAAGCTATTGAGTGAACTAGTACTAATACAAAAAAAAAAATCATCTTCTGAAATCTTTAGGGATTTCATCATTCTGGGTAGCCAGATTTTCTAGATTGTTTAACCATTTTAGATGGAAATCTTTTGAAAATGTAGGGTTTTTTTAACTCCATGATGTCTAAGGTCCTTTTTTTTTTCAGCTTTAAAATGATATCATATATGTAATGATATAATTTAGTTTTGATGATTCTTCCTCAGTGAAATTTTTCTTCACAGAATAAGGAATATGGCCAGCAAAATAATGAAAGAAAAATCCTTGAAAATAAATTAATATGTAGAAATATTTAAAGGAGTTATGTCTCTAAATTTATGTATTTAGATGGTAGGAGCTTTATTCTTCTGTATATTTGACATGTTTAGAACAAATTAATTTTCAGTGGTTCTCAAAATAACATCTAAAGTAGAATTGTTATTGATAACTTTTAAAAATATTCTTTTTGTATAAAATTATACGTAAGATAGCCATTGAGCTTCAATGGAAATACAATTTCTGTTTCTCTGTTAGCTAGTTTAATGTGATTTGGAGGTGTATAGTATAGCCCCAAAGGAAATTTAACAGCCATCTCTTCTGAGTGACATACACTAAGGACCATAACAGATGTGACATACTAAGTTATTACCTCAGTTCTTCCTCCATGTGGGGTTAGAGAAGTGACAACTTTGTTGATAAGCTTATCAGTGAAGGTCCATTTGAGAATGCTCTCCAGAACCCTGCGTAATAATTCAGCCACCTGGAGTCTCCAAAGGGAGAGTAGTTACTGGGAAGAAAGGGGGTGGTAGGACACACCTGCCCTTTGAATAAACCCCTACTTATCTTCAAAAGCTTACCATGCAATTTGATTAAAAAAAATTTTTTTTTATGCCATGTGTTATCTTCTAGATTAGCCATTTACTTCTCTGAAGGTAAGAGGTTGAAGCAGAGCTCTCCTCTAATTTTGTTAAAACTCAAAATAATTATGTAAAAATTGACCTTTCTATAAAACATTATCTAATTATAAAACTTTTTTTGTAGCAGGTGGTATCCAAATAAAAAATGAGAAAAATAGACCATCTTTGAAAACTGTGAAAAATGATAACAAATCAGAAAATAAATATAAGCCACTCTGGGGAAAAGTCTTTTATCTTGATTTACCATCTGTTGTGATCTCTGAAAGACTGGAAAAGGACCTCAAGGAACTAGGAGGGGTAAGTTAAAATGTTGTATTTTAACAAAAAAATTTCCCACATTTATGTTATATTCCCAAATTTATGTTATATGATTTTAACTTGGGCCCTCACTGCAGCAGGGTAATTTGTCTTCATGTCTCTAATGGATTCACTTTTCCACTCATTTCAATGACTATTCCAAACTTTTTTATCCTTCCTCAAGTCTCTCTGCACCCTCTCAACTGAGGACCTCTCCTTATACTCCCTCCCAAATGAGGCCATTCGATAAGCACGGCCTTTTCTCCCATCATCATTCCATTTCATGCAGACGTCCTCTCTTACTCTGTCTTCCTTCTGTCCCTGATGAAGAGGTGTCTCCCTTCTGCACGCACCCCTGATTTTCAATCTCACCTATACCCTGGCTCCTTCCTACCATCTACTCCTTGTCTGATATCTCTTCTACACTTCTTGGCTAAACCCCTTGAGGAAGTACTACACTAGAAGCTGCCACATCTTCTCCCACTTGCTTCTGAATCCATCTATAATCTCACTTCATACGGTTGATCTACCATCTCCAGAATGATCGTTGGTTTCTTCATTGCCAAATGTAATGACCTGTTCTCAGTCCTCATGCTTCTTAGACTCTCTGTAACCTCTTACGCTGTTGAACCTTCACCTCTTTTAGGCATCTCAAATGCCACATTTCCAAAACAGAAGTCATTCTCTTTCCCCTACAATCCTCTTCCCTTCCTAGCTTTCCAGTTACTTTCAAGGGCCCTAGGCCCATGGTCTCTGTGACCCCTCAGTTCTTTATGCGCATCCACCACACAGCCAGTCTGTTGTGAAATTTTGTCGTTTCAACCTTTCTTTCTCTTATATAGGTGCTTTCACTGAGCTATGCCATCCCACAGGCCCTCAGTGCCTTCCCCTGCCTCAGGTTTCTCCCCACGCCATACCATTCTCCATTCAGCTGCCAGAGTGGTTTTCCTAAAGCACAGTTCCTGACAGTGTCACCCCCAGGCCCCAGTGAAGTCCACTGGCTCCCTGTTACTTCCAGGATCAAATATAAAATCCTCTGGCATTTAAAGCTCTTCCCACCTTTCCTTTCTTCTTACACTTTCTTCCCCCCCGTGCTCTGATGATCCTGCTGCACTGGCCTTCTTGCTGTTCTTCACGTGGCTTCTTTTCCTGTCTCTGAATTTGTACTGGCTGTCCCCCTCATGCCTGGAATGGCCTCCCTCCTCACCTTGGGCTCCTGGCTTCTGCAGCTTCCCTTAGTCTCAGCTCAGATACCGCCTTCTGTACCTTCTGAAGAGGCCTTTCTTGGTCCCCCACCCCATAGTGCCTCTCCTCTGTTAGTGGCTTGTATGTACCTAGCTATTATACTCATCTCTCATGTTAGAGTGGAAGCTACCTGAGGGTAGGGTTAGCGTTTTTACTTTTCTGTGTATCTATCCCTAACTCTTAGCACAGTGCTTGGCATGTTGGAAGTGCACACTAAATGTATTCTTATTGACTGACTGGCTGGCTGGCTGGCTTTGTCAAAATAGAACTTGGACTTCTCTTCAGAAATAGAGCAGGGTAGTTTGAAATAAAGTTTTCATTTTGAAAAAAATATTCCCTTGAAGAGACAGCATGCCTTAGTAAATAGAGAGGAAGCTCTGGGTCAGGAAGACTTGGGTTGAAGTCTTGCCTCAGTGTGACCACATCAGCACCACAGAGGGTTTGTTAAGCCGGTAGCTATAGGTGAGTTGTATGTTCAGCTGTGGAGGTAATTTCCACTTTGGGAATTCCCTAGACTTGTGAAATCAATTTTTGGGGAGGGAGGGGAAGAGGGAATAAATAGTGTCAAGCTTAAATTTGATGGTAACTTTTTAACATGAAGACAAGATGATTATTTAAAGTTGATTGTGAGATTGAGGAGCAAGTTGAGTGGAGGTATATAGTGTGTTCTCACAAGTTGAAAGTCACTATTCTAGGGCAGGTAATGTGGTGTAATGGAAAGAGCTCCAAAGTTAGAATCAGTAGTTCGGTTCAAATCTCACCACTGACAAGAATTTCGTGACCATGGTCAAGTCTCTCTGAGCCTCAGTTTCCTCAGCTGTAAAATAGCTATAATAATACACACACTACCTAACTCATAGCATTGTAGGGATAAAAAAAACCCTTGGGAAATAATTAATTTGTGCCAGGCTCATGCTTAGATTCTTGGCTTGGGCAGGAGCTCTTTAGTTTATTATTCACTGGTGCTGTACATCAGGAATCTGGGAGAAAAAGCATTAATAGTCAAAAGTGGACCAAAAAAAAGAATGTGGTTTTGTGTGAAATGCTAAAATTCTCCTTGTTATTAATTTATATATGTGTGTGGAAATGCCTGTCATATATTGGCTTTTATGTATGTGCTTAAAATTATAATCCCTGTAAGAATATTTTTTTTAAATATAAAATTTCCTGCTTTTTCACTGCTTATGTTGTTTTTGACACAGTTGGGAAGGTTAACTAATATCTAGAATGACAGAATTAAGATCCAAAAAACCATTCCATAGGCAGAATAATATGCTAAATCTAGTAAGATGAAATTTTATAGGATAAATGTTTTATCCTACATGTGGAGTAAAAATTCTTCTAGTCTTATATGGGAAATAAAAAGCTGCATGAAAACCGGATAGACTGCCTCTCTGTGGACTGCTTAGACAACAAGGTTAAATGAAAGGGACGTGGAAGGTGAATGGATGACCAGCCCAGTGTGAGTCAGCATTGGGAGGCAGTAGCCAGATAGGCCACAGTGACGTTCCTCTGCTTGTGCTTCAGAAATTAGACTCTCCTACCAAGTCTTTTACTCTACCTAGTTTGTGTCTTTCCTGAACTAGTAGCTAAGAAAGATTGAGGAACTCTTTTATAACATATCTGTGTGAGATAGTAATGATAAAAGATGTCTCTCCGGGGTTACATTATGAAGAACAGCTGGGGAGACAGCAAATAAACTGAAGCCAAAAAGAAAGGAAAATGAAGGAATGAGAAGTAAAAGTTGATCTGCCTAATGTCAGTACATAAGCAAAGTATTGTGGACAATGTGGTTTGACTCAGTTGAATTCTGCCCTGGTCATACCGTATGCTGGGTGTCCTCTGTTCCCCACTGGCTACTTCAGCTGGGAAATACATTGACGTGCTGGAATGCATGTAGAGAAAGGCATTTGGGATGGTGAGGGGACTAGAAGCCTTACCATGGAAGGACTAGTTGAAGGAACTGGAGGTGACTTAAGTGGATATATGATTACTTTCTTTAAAATTTTGATGGCATGTTAAATGGAAGAAAAATTAGATTTATTCTACTTGATCCTAGAAGACAGAAGTAAAACTAATTCACAGAGAGACAAATTTTGGCTCAAAATAATGAAAAACTTTGTACAAATTAGAAGTGTCCAAAATTGGATTTGGGTTCCTTTGGGGGACGGAAATTCCCATTCTCTCCAGAGTCTTAAGAGAATCCTTAGTGACACACCCTTCCTTGCCCCTCCCTCCTTGCCATGATGTTGTAATGCCTGCTTCAGCCTAGTTTAGACTTAAATGATGAACCTTGAGGTCCCTTCCAGGTATGAGATTTGCATTATTGAATTAGGTTCTCTTAATTGTTGCTAAGCACTTTACCTATAATCTTTACTCTGTATGTTTATATGTAATTATAAGCTTGCTATATGGTTTTGCAGAGTTTGGTCTCTAGGGCCAGCCAATGGATGGAATAGGCTAAGTGGGCTAGTTTGCCCACACTCAGTCACTATTGAACTGAGATTAAATAGCATGGTTAGCTCCGGGGTTGTTCCCAGGCACCTCATTTGACTGAAACCTAAAAAAGGGTAACAGTACAGTTACTTCAGCATCAATGCTTATGTGGATCATTGATCTCTGTCAGTTTGGCAGTTCCGTCCAGCGATGCTGACCACAGAGTTCCATGTTTGCTATTTGCCCCAGGGGGCCCACCCAGAGTTCTCAAGGCTCTCACTTTCTCTTGCCACCTGAACGGTACCAGGAGAAGAGTAATCTGGCTGTCTACCTGTCATCCCTCTCCCTCCCAACTTCTCTTCTGGTCATATAATTCCTTGATGGTGCCTTCTTCCTATTTGACTCTAGTTATATGTTGTAGCCTACTCACACCTGCTATACATCTTAGTGCCATTATAGCAATACCAGTGAAAGTGTTGACATTAACAACTAGGGATATAGATTCAGGAAAACTGGCATGTCCATAGGGATAGTTGGTCGACAAGTTCATATCCCAACCAGCCATCCACCCAGTCCACCCTACTGCCTGCTTGCTGTGGAGCAAGTATCACCTTCCTTTATACCTTCCTAGGACAAAACTCTCTTCCCTAGACACCTCTCTCCATGTGTGCTGTTATTCTGTCCTATTCCATATCAGAATGGAAGGCCCGGAAGGATAGTGACTACTTCCATCTCAACATTGATTCGGCAGTGACTATACTGTGGTGTGTGTGTGTGGTATGTATTTATTGAAGTTAAATGAGGTGACTCAATTTGTCCAAAAAAACCATTCACCACAGTTTTTGGTTTTGTTTGTTTGTTTGTTTGTTTGTTTTTGCTTTTTTGGTGAGGCAGTTGGGATTAAGTGACTTGCCCAGGGTCACACAGCTAGTAAGTGTCAAGGGTCTGAGGCTGGATTTGAACTCAGTTCCTCCTGACTCTAAGGCTGAAGCTCTATCCACCGTACCACCTAGCTGCCCCTCACCACAGTTGTAATTGGGGGAGGGGGGAATTTCATGGAGAGAATGGCATGCTTTTTTTTTTTTTTTTTTTTTTTTTGGAAGGAGAAAGAGTCTGAGCAGTAACTAGAGCAGTGTCTCTTTCAATGTCTGATCAGTTTGAGGAGTTCAGAATGCTTTTCAAGTGTAGCAAAGCCTGTTCCCCAGTGTCTTATGCTGCCATTCCTATACTCACCTTTCCTGCCAATCAGCAAGCACTTTGAGCTGCTTTACCACAAGGTATTTTTGAACCATCTGCACTCTCTCCTGGGCCCATCTTGAGGGATGGTGAGCAGAGGAACTTAAAAGTAATTTCTCAGTTTGTCACTTGTCATCCTCCACTTCAGTGACATAATAGGCAATTCTTGGGGGTTCCTGTGACTGAAAAATTTAACACCCAACCTAATGGTAAGCTTCTCTTAATTTAGCTAAGATGTTCTTCAGAAGGCAGACATCATCAAGGTTTACATAGTCCTTTCCATAAAGCGTTTCCTTCATTTTATTCCCACAACAACTGTGAGAGCTCAGTAAGTGTTATTATCTACATTTTAGAGATGAGGAAACTGAAGCAGACAGTGATTTGTGTCTGAGGTAGGATTTGAACTCGGGTCTTCCAGATTTCAAGTCCTGTGTTCTATCCACCAAGCCATCTAGCCTTCTTGTTTGGGCCATCACTAGCCCCTGCTTCCATCATTCTAACAATGAAAAAATTTAAACTGTTGGAGAAGGGAGCCTAGGATTATACAAGTTGGTGTTCTGTAAGGCAGTATTACCTAGTGCAGAGTGCTAGACTTGGTCAGCTAATTCCTGAGTATACACCTCTCAGCACCAGCTCTGTGGTCAGGGACAAGTTACTTGTCCTTTTATTCCTAAAAAAAGAGCTAGAAATACCCAGGAGACCTGTTTCTTGGGGCTATTGTGAGGCTCTTGTTGGAGAATGTGTGTAAAGCACTAGACATACCTCAAAGCATTAGATAAATATTAGTGGTGACTGTGGTTATTCCAGTACAGCTGCTGTTGTTGTATTTGTCCCTTGTTCCCGAAGAGGACCATGACATCAGGGAGATGATGACATGACTTGCAATTGACTTTGATTTGAGTGAGGGAGGGCTGTGCAAGGTCACCAGGCTCACTTTCTCCTCCAGAGCCATCTGAGTCCAGTGGTCAGGTGTTCATCAGGATGACTAGAGATGGCCCACGATGTAATGGGAGACCCTGGTCCTTTTAAGCTAAGGTCTTTTCAGGTTATCACTTTGAGTGAAGTAATGCCCATTCAGTTCATAGGCCTCTTTCAGAAGTGAGTCAAAGGAAGGCCTCTTTAATAAAGATTTTAAAAAAAATCAAACTGATAGGGGGAAGACCCTCAGGGTTGCTGGCCAAAAGAGAAACAGTTACTATTGACATTCACTCTGAACTTGGAGGGCCTGAAAAATAGCCATTAAGTGGTGCTTGGGCAGGGACCTATTGTCCAATCTATGAGCTCCAGAGTGAATTGGGTTTAAGGCTTGATCTTTGAGAGAGAAATCTAGGCAGTAAACCCTAGAGAGAGAAGGGAGATCGGTTGAGAAAAAGAAAGGAGATGAGGCAAGCTGAGTTACTCAACTGGAACTGGCCAACTGGTTCCCTATTCAGGCAGCTCAGACTGCTCACATGTTGTGTTATTTGTCCTTCATTCTCAAAGAGGACCATGACATCACAATTGACTTTGATTTGAAGGAGGGAGGGCTGTGCAAAGTCACCAGTCTCACTTCTGAGCCGTCTGGGTTCAGTGGCCAGATCATCAGGACGACTGGGATGGCTCAGCCCAATACAGCTAGCTTCCCATATTAGGAAGAGCCAATAGGGTTTCCAGTGACAGTCAACATTCCATCTCAGCATCTTGAGTTATCTTGTCCAGCCTCCTCATTGTACAAATGGCATAAATGAGAAAACCAAGAGGAGATTATGCGATCAGAAAAGCTACTGAGTATTAACTTGCAGACTCTGTGTATGCAGGGAGTTTTCAGTCAGGTAGAAGTCTCTTGACTCCTGGCCTGAGCAAAAACCCCTTGAGGACCAACCAGCTTTAAAAACTGTAGAATCAGAAGAGACCCAGGGCCAAGTTACACCTCTAATACCTAATTGCTTTGTTACTTTGGGCCAGCCTTTTTAGTTTTCAACATTCACTTTCATAAGATTTTAAGTTTTAAATTTTCTCTCCCTCTCTCTCCTCCCCCTTCCCCAAGGCAGCATGCAATCTGATATAGGCTGTACTTACACATTCATATTAAACATATGGCCCAGCCTTTTAACCAACCTCCAGAGGTTCAGTTTCCTTCTCTATAAAAGGACAGTAGCAAACACCTAATAGTGTTGTTGTGAAGATTGAATCACTTAAAGTGAGTCGTGGCAAATCTTATAATGCTAGGGAAATGTCCGTTATTATTATGTCTTGTTTAAAAACAGGGGGCTTTAATGCTTCCATCACATTTTTCAAACAGAAAAAGATTTCCTCCTAATCTGGAAGGTTGGGAATAACCTATTTCATCTAACCTAAATCTTCTTTCATGTAGTAACATCCCCATCTGCTGGAACTTTGAAATATTGCTACAAAGTGTTTTGGGGTGGTTTTTTTTTGTTTTGTTTTTTTGATTGGTGTTGTGTTTTTGTATCAGCATTACTAAACAGGCTTCATAAGTTAGCTTTTACTTGGTTGCAGTGTGTCTTATGACCCATCTTGAAATGTGATGGTGAGCAGTTATTTCTAAGGTGGTATCATTTTGAGTCCAGTATGCCGCCAGACTCTTAAGGCATTGATTAATCTCCGAATCATGCAACCTTATTTTAATTTTTCCTGCTTACATTGTAAAGCCCTGGAGGGGTTCATGTGATTTATCATTTTTCTTCAGTTTCATGTTATAGCTGTTTAAATTCCTTTTTAGAAGCCTTTATATTTCTTCAGAGAGCTGAACAGTTAATGGCACTTTTTTTCATATTTTCTTTGTGCTCCTTTTTGATGGTTATGTTAATGATGATATAAGAAGGCAGGGACTTTTTTGTTTGTTTTCTGGCAGCACCTAGTTCACTGACTGGCAGGCACATAGGAGGCACTTAATAATTGCTTCTTGATTTATTGATTGATAGATTGGTGCTTGTGTAGAATCAGTATTAGCATTGATGTTGATTCCATAAACCACACATCTCATTACTATAATTATGCCTTTATAGTAAAAATGTATCTTTCATAAAGTTTGGATGAGTTTATCATTTATTAAGCTAGAGGGCACTAAACTGAATTTGTTTGACTTATTTTGAGTAACACAAGCATATAATATTCTTGGTGTTTTATTTTTACCTTTTTTGAAAATACTGATTTTTTTTTTAGAGAGTTGAAGAATTTCTCAGCAAAGATATAAGTTACCTCATTTCAAATAAAAAGGAAGCAAAATACGCTCAGACATTGGGGTGTATTTCTCCTGTCCCAAGTCCAGAATCAACATATACAGGAGGAAATACTTCACCACATCCTAGCTGTGATGGAAGTTCATTCAAGACTCCAGATCCAGTAAGTTTCTTCCACATATTAACTAATTAATAAGGTTTATAACTTGAAAACCTTGTGACATATATTAATTAGCTTTGTTGCTTCTTTTAATAATGTGTGTGAATCCTCTTTGCTTTTCCCATTACTTTCAAGGACAAGGCCATTTCATAGTGTCTCAACTTAGATGCTTATGCAATCCTTACAATATAAATAAACAACAAATAAATGTGTGAATATATGTTGTTTATGCCTTTCGTATTTACAGAATATTGTCCAAGCTTTCCAGATGCATTTCATTTTTCAAATGACAGCAAAAAGGGATAAGACTAGGGAATTGCCCTGTTAACCTCATTAGTATAAGGTGCTTCCAGTGAGGAATGGCCTCTCCCAGGGCAGCTTGGCCCTCTCCTCTGCAACTGCCCTGGGCCCTTTGAGTTCAGTGACTTAAGGAACAGAATTGACCGGCTCTGTCTACATCATATTTCGTACTGCTTTTGACAACTTGGAAGAAAGTGGTAACCTGTTCTGGGTGGGGCTTTTTTGTTTTTACTAGAATGCCAGAGAGACAGCTGGATCCAAATCACCTGTAGCACAAAGGGGTTTTTCAATGGGAGAAATCTAAGACCCAACTAGCCTGATTTTAAAATTAAGAGGAGGAAACACAGACTCTATTCAATAAATACAACAAACGTGTTTTAAATGTGCTTCAGTTACATTTTATGGCTAGTTTAAGTACCTGGGAAAGGTGAGGAAATGCATGGAAGGATGGGAAGGTGGGAGAGGGGAGAGGGAGGAGAATGAGACCAGACTGCTCCCTCTTTCCTAGAGGAAGGAAGGAAACTCACACGCACACGCACATGCACATGCACATGCATGCACACAGAAGTAAAATAATGGTGATAGATAGCACTTTAAGGTTGGCATAGCATCTTACATATATTCTCTCATTTGCTCCTTCCAACAGCCATGTAAGGAAAGTGCTATTATTATCCTCATTTTACTGATGAGGAAATGAAGCAGAAAGGGGCTAAACAGCTTTCCTAAAGTCATTCAGCTAGTAAACGTCTGAGGCAATATTTGAACTTATCTTTTTCTGGCACCAAGTCCAATGCTCTATCTGCTGTAGCCCCTAGCTACTCAAACAAACAAGGGGGGTGACTTTACTAAGTGATTCCAGAATCACCTTTAAAGAATTGACATACCTTTGCTATCCATATGGGCTGTTGTTGGAAAAGCCATTGGACTTTTTGTATTAGGAACTAGAACTATGCGATAAATTCACTTTTGTTTTCAAATATTATTTCAGTGGGACAAAGCAAAGGTAGGAAAGTACTCAGAGAAACATTTTCAGTGCTACTTAACTGAGAGGTGTACTGAAGAGAGCAGAACAACACAAGTTCAAGTCTAGTTCTGCTGATTAGCCCTCTGATCTTGCCTGCTGTGAATTTAATTTTCTTCATCTCTAAAATAAGGAAAATAAATCTGCTCTGCCTGTTTATCATACGTAGTCATTGTAAAGATTGAGTGAGAACTTAAGTGAAATGCTTTGGAAAAAAACTTATCAGCAAAACCTGGAAAAGAGAAGACTTAGAAGAAATATAATCTTCAAATCTTTGAAGGACTGTCATGTAGAAGAGGAGCTAGACCTCCTCCACTTGATCTGAGAGTGCAGAACTGGGACAATTAGAGCAAGCTAGAACCAGAATGGGCTACTTGGGAGGTCACAAGCCCCCAGGAGTGGAGGCGTATAGCAAGGGCTTTACGACGGCTGTCGGAGTATTGTAGAAAAGATCCATGCTTCATAGAGGCGTTGGTCTAGGGGATTTCTGAGGACCCCTCCAAGTCTGAGATTCTGTGATACATCATCAAGTGCTGCATAAATCTGTTACTAAGCATTTTATTTAATCCTTGGAAAGGTGGGGCCACCTTTGTATTATTCATTATGTCCACTTATTGTCCAATAAGTACCAATGGGATACATCTGTTCTTATTACAATGGTAGTCATTTTAGAAGTGTTCTTTCTGATCTATGTCTGTGCTTCATAGAAGCGTATGTTCCTTTAAAATGATTAGGTTTTATTTTTCTTTGGTTTACAAATAACCAATTTTTTTTCCCCATAGGTATGTATGAGCAGAGGCAAATTATTAGTTGAAAAAGCTATCAAGGAACATGTAAGTTGGCAAATTTTTAACAATAATCAAATGAAAATTTCACTGGACAATTATGCATAGTGTTTTAATTACCTCTTAAAGTTTGGAATGCTAGCTACTCATGGCACCCTTCATTTTAAAATTTTTAGTGTAGACATTCCCTAACTTTCTAGTTTCTAGATGTTCAAAGTGAGTGTCACGTTTCTCCTTTTTTAGAGCACAGCATCTACTTTAAGATGCAAATTTTGTGATCTTTTTAAAGATTTGACACCTCATTGTATTTTTGCAACTACAAACAGTCGGATTTTTGGTAAAGATTCCATCTATGGTTTTACCCATTCTTTTGCTGTCTTCCCTTTGAGGTATTTTGAAAATCTAAAACCCTGATTATCCTATTAATGTTATCTGTGGTCTGGATTTATTCTGTTTGTAGTTTTATTGGCTTCAATTTCCCTTCCAGATTTCTTCTTGAGCACCATTTCCCTTTTTTCATGCGGCACATTGGAAGCCGAAGCGATGGCATCCAAATGCATTATTTGAGCAGCATGATAAAGGGCATTGGCTCTGGAGTCAGAGAACCCAGATTCAAATTCTCTCTCTTAGCATGATCCCCAGGTGTCCTTGTGGGAATCACTAAAGCACTCTGGGCCCTAGTTTTCCCACCTGTAAAATGGGGAGATTGGACCTGGTCTTTGAAATCTTTTCCTATTCTTGAGCTCCAGTTTCCATCACCAATAGTCATAAAAAGAGATTACTCTAGAAACAGCTGCAAATCTCTTATCCCGTTTTGCATCTCTATCTCAGACTCCTGGCTCCTCTTGCCCTTAGCCTTGTGATCCAAGGTCAGCATTGGCTAAGGTGAATATCCTTTTCTCTTGCTGCTGTCACCCGACTGAAGTTCCTCTCCTCCTTCAGGAGAAAGATTAGGTCCAGAGACCGGGAATCAGTAGAAGAGGAGTGTGGCGAGCTGGCTGCAGAGAGGCCCCGCTCTGGCACACTGACTGGGGACCCTGGGCGAGTCGGGGTGCTGTAACTGCAGACAGAGGACTGAGCTGTGGTGGAGAGGAATTTCTTCACAGGGGGCCCTACCCAGGTGACACCATAGGTTTGATTTTAGAGAAAAAGATGGTAGCAAGTAGAGATTGCCCTGTATCTTAGTCTTCCTAAATAAATCCCTCTTTTTTCCTCATTATGATCTCAGCCGTATCCACCTCTCCCTGTTCTATCCGTTTATCAGCTCTGCTCTCACCTCATTTTCTTCCTTCACTCTCTTAACCCTATGCTGCTCTTTCCTTCTGTGTTCCTTGGCACCTTGTCCTCCAACTAGTCAGGCCTTTTCAAACTCCAGCCCTCAGTTGACCTCGCTATCCTCCTCTACCTGTAGCCACTTAGAACCTAGCATAGTGGCTGCCTAGAAACCTAGTAGGGCACAATAAATGCTTATTGATTGACCGATGAGTTGATTGAAGAGTGTTGAGGTCAATCAACTGTACTGCTTCCACTTCATTTTAATGATGTTATCTAATTAGAACTGGGCTCTCACTACAAGTGCAATCCTTTTATTCTTTCCCAAATGACTAATCAGACGTCCTCTCCACAGTGCCCTTATCCCAACCCTCTCCCATCAGCCTCAGCAGAGGAGCTCACCACCTATTTCACAGAGAAAACAGACTGTCCATAATCGCCAAAACTCCCCACCCCTTATAACATCTCTCCTTTCTTGTTCCAGTCTCTGAGCAAGAGGTGGCCTTTCTCCCGGCTGTGTCAACCTTTCTAATCTTTTCTAATCTGATCTTTCAGAGTTGATCCAATCTCTACCCCATTTCTTGGAGATTGAACTCATGATCATTTCCTAGCCCTTATGTTCTTTACTTTGTCTCCTGACTCCATGACACCTCTGTGCATACTGGGCTCTCTCCCGTCCTTAAAGTCTTCTCTAGCTTGTTCCATCCTCTTGAGCTACTATCTTATAGTGAATAAGCTATATTTATACCAAAGGAATCAAAACCTTGTGAGCAACCTAAATATGGTAAACCTCTCAGTACTAAACCTGTCTTCAGACAATAGACATTCTGCTACTGATGCTGTACTTGAAGCCTTTACAGGTTATTAGACCTTCATTTCACTTACATAACAATCAGGTAACTGTAACGCTTAGTAGGACTTTCTTTAGTGGCCATCTGCTTCTTAGAATTTTTAACTGGGTTTCTCATAGGTGTCTCAAACTTGAAATGTTCCAAAGAGATCTAATTTCTTTCCCCACTCCCTCATCCAGAGTTCTAACCTATTTGTGTTGAATGCATCACCGTCTTTCCAGGCATCTTTCTGTGGACCTACAGATTCAGTTTCATCCTTGATTCTCTCTTCCTCACCTCCCCCCATCCAGTCAGTTGTCAGCCCACACCATATTTTGCATCTGCTCCCTTCTCACTACTCCTGTAGCCAACACCCTACTATCGATCTTCAGGAGCTCTTATGCCAGCTTCCTCATAGTACTGCTGGCTTCCATCCTCCCCTCTCTCAAATCCATCCTTTACATTGCTGCCAAAAATAATCTTTCTAAGGTAAGTCTGACCACACCACTCCCCTGTTCAGAAATTACTTGCTTCCTGTTACCTACCTCTAAGATAAAATGAACTCAACTTGGCACAGTAAGGCCCTTCACAGTCTGGTTCCAGCCTACCTTTCCAGGTTGATTTCATATTCTACTTCATGCATTTTTTGTTCCAGTCAAATTGACCTAGTTGCTATTGCCTACACTTGGCATCCCAAGCTGTTCACCAAGCCTGAAAGGCAATCCTTGTTCACCTGAGCTTCCTTCATGTCTATCTTCCTATTGATAGCCTTTCTTAAACCCCTCCACCCCCCAAAATGGTTAGTGCTCCTTCCCTCATGTAATTACACATATGCTTATATTTGTACGTGGCATTTCCTATTGTAAAATATAAGCTCCTTGAGATGGGATTGTTTTTTCATTTTGTCCATGTATCTCCAATATTAGCACAATACTTTCATGTAGTAAATTTTTGCTACATGTCTGGTGCACTGGATTGGATTTAGATGACCAGCCAAAAACTCGTTTTGACCAAAGCCATGGATTTAGTGACCTTGCAAAGACATGAACTATAGGAGAGTACTAACTTTTTAACAGGATTGTAGTATCAATAACTTTGGCTGTCTCTTTATCAAAGACTTTTTTAAAGGAGAGAATACAAATAGATTCAAAATTGATGCTCTGATAGTAAAAAAAAAAGCAAATATCTTATTTCTTCTGCCTTACTCAGTTGCAGTAGTATGTAGCACTTTAAATAAACTTTTCTAAAAAGTATTAATTGTCTTTATTTTTTATAGGAATTCATCCCTTCAAATAGTATCCTGTCAAATGCTTTATCCTGGGGAGTGAAAATTCTTCATATTGATGGTAATTTTTTTTTTCTTTGGTTGTCACAATTTACCTATGAAAATCTTAGAACCAATTATAGAAAAAACTGCAGTATTTACGTTGCATGGAATCTTTCTGTTTGTAGCTTGTTTGCATCCAATTTCCTTTTTGTATTTTATCTTACTAAGTGTCATTTCTACTTTATTTTTTTCAACTCTGAATAGAAATAACCTTAAACCTTTTTTTTCTTTTAATAAAGATATTAAATACTATATTGAACAAAAGAAAAAAGAATTGTATCTGATCAAGAAATCAAGCACATCACTTAGAGAGGTGGTGAGTATTTTTCTAAATATTTGAAATCATTAAAGAAGGAAAATGTCTTAGCAGAATCATGTTTTTGCCATCCTGCTTTTAGTTCCTTCTCCTGGATCTTTCCAGTGCAAACCAATAAATGTGAGGGAGAATGTTCCTTTTTTTTAAATCAGTCTACTATTTATTTTTAGCATCCTTTTTAAATTTTGAGCTTCAAATTGTCTCCATCCCTCCCACCCACTGAGAAGGCAAGCAATATATCAATTACATGTGTGAAATCATGTGAAATATTTCCGTATTAGCCAAACCTCCCAAAAAAAGCCAGAAAAAATTTTTAAAGTGAGAAATTATACTTCAATTTGCACTCAAGAGTTCATCAGTTCTCTCTCTGGAGGTAGATGGCATTTTTTTTATCATGAGTTGTTTTGGCACTGTCTTGGATCGCTGTAGTAATCAAAGTATCTAAGTCATTCATAGTTGTTCATCATACAATATTGCTATTACTGTGTACAATGTTCTCCTGGTTTTGCTCATTTCACTCTGCATCTGTTTATGAAAGTCTTTCCCAGTTTTTCTGAAGTCATCCTGCTCATCGTTTCTCATAGCACAATAATATTCCATTACAATTATATGCCACAACTTGTTTGGTCATTGCGCAATCGATGAACATCCCTTCATTTTCCAGTCCTTTGACACCACAAAAAGTTGCTATGAATATTTTTGTACATATAGGTCCTTTTCTTTTTTCTTTGGGATTGTAGACAAAAATGCTCCTTTCAAAGAAAGCCTGAAGGGTTGACCCCTGAGGAGCGCATCTGGTTGGTTTCAAGGTGTTGCTGCTTTTCATTTAAATCTGATTGTGGGCCTGGATGAGAATCTAGACATCTGGGGCCTTTTTTTTTTTCTTTTCTTGGCTTAGTGCAGATACTGACAAAACAGCCTGGCTGCTTAAGACCTTCACTCCACTTCTTGCTCTTACATCCCATAAGGGCAGGGCAAGATCTCATCAACAGCCAGTCTTCCCTGGTGCTGTGCACAATGCTCTACACACTATGGGCGTTTAAAGTAGAAGTCTTGTTTTTGAGTGATTTAGGGGATTAGAGGCTAGCAGTTTTTTTTTAATTCCTTTTAACTGAATGAATGCTGTCTTCTTGTTGCTTCTTCCCATTTTCCATGTATAGCACTAACTGAAAGGGCAGTGGTTTATGCATTGCAGCAGACTCACATAATTTAATGACTTGGAAGGAGTGTTAGAGTGGCGTGGTCACAAGCCCCCTCTGCTGCTGCTACTTGTGGCACTTGGAGCAGGTCTCGTAGTCTCTCAGTGTCTCAGTTTCTTCATTTATACAATGAAAGAATTGGATTAGATTGTTTCCTGGTCTAAAGTCCTAGTACCTAACCAATCCCTGTTATTTATGGGTGAAGAAACTACAGTCAGTAGAGATGAGGTTATGTCTTTAGATTGTAGCAGAAGCAAAGCTGGTCTTCTGACTTCTGACACTGTCCACTTTTTCAGTGTGCCGAACTGCCTTCTGTTTGTTAAAAAACAAGACAAGTAGAACTGCCTACAGCCACCCTATAAACCAAAGACCAAACTCTTCCTTCACAGTCTTCCACTGAAGGAAATAACCCATCCACCCCAAATCGCCTGATCATTAATTTGTTTACTGAACTAAAGATTCGTATTGATGGATCCCAGAAATACTGGTCTTTAGAGCTGTGGTGTAGACCAGGTGCTGGACGAGGGAAGCTCTTACTGTCTGTCCATAAAGTAAACCTGCCACATAAAGGTCCAATTCTGTTACAGCTCACAGAACAAAAATGGCTACATGATTGATTGACTTTGGGTGCCATTAGGAGACATTAGTCAAGATAAGGATCTTCTCTAAGAAGTTCTTTCTCCCTTGGGTGTTCAGAATATAAAATTCTTTCACTGATCTTAGCTTGATTTTTAATGTGTTTTATTCCTTATCTATTTTTTCATAGTAGTTTCTCACACATCTCCCACATTGCACTCTCCCTTGTGACAAAGAAAAACAGTTGAACAAAAACATCAGATACTGGACTGACTTTGTGCCCAATATTCTGCCATTCTGGTCGCCCACTCTGGTGTGAGGGAGGAGATGTGTCTGACCATATTATCTCTAAGACCTGAATGGGTTTTTACTTTGCTAAGAGTTCATCTTGAGTTTAACAAACTTTTCATGTGCATGTTTGGTCATTGTGTTTAGTCTTTCTTGCTTGATTGTTCTACATGTTCTACAAATCTGAACTAGTTCTACAAATCTTCATACATTTTTCTTCCTCTTTGTTATTTCTTATTACCTTGTACTCAAAAACCAGAATTATTTGACGGGCACCCACTTAGTGTCCACTTCTTTTACTGCTGCCAGGAGGGCTGTTATGACCCTTCTGTCACACATAGGGTCTCTTTGGGATATGTGCCCAGTAACGTTCTCTCAAAGAGTGGGCAGTTCAGTCACTTTTGTTGCATAAGGCAGTCGACAGCTTTCCTCATCAGTACATCAGTGTTTCTGACTTTCTGCAGTGACTCTGTAGTGGTCATCGACTGTTAGTCAGTGTGTAATAAGAAAAAGAAAAGAGTCCCTGCCCTCAAGGAGCATACAATCTAATGGGAAGACAGCACACAAAAGGAAGCTGGAAAGCGCGGTGGGTTGGGAGTGGGGGGGGGGGTTCTTGTTCCATGGAACTGAAACCAGGCAGAGCTGCAGAGTGTGAAGCGAGCTGGATGTCCAGTTCTTGCCCTCAGTAAAGGAAAGCTTTGAGAGGAGTTTAGTCCTCTACCTCCCAGCCATCCTGTGAGTGATCTGAAGCATGAAGAATAAGCATTTATTAAGTGACTGCCATGTGCCAGTCATTGTGCTAAATGCTTTTACAAATATCTCATTCAATCCTTATAACACCCCTGGGGGGTAAGGAAGGACTCTTTTTATCCTCATTTTTCAGAGGAGGAAACTGAGGCAAACATGTGAAGTGACTTGCCCAGGGTCACACAGCTAGTCAGTAGCTGAGGCTGGATTTGAACTTGAGTCTCTCTACATTGTGCATCCTCAGCTGCTTCTATCCTGTTACTGTTTCTAGTCTGCAATGCTTCTGTGGAAATTGTGTGATCCTCTCTTTGACCTCTTATCTATTGGGAAATGGATCCGGGTTTTGTCTGTTCAAGTCACTCCCTTCCATAGTCGAGGATTCAGACTGGCTTCTTTGGGTGTCACGTCCATGGGGCTTTTCCTGGTCCAAATCGTGCCTCCCTCTGTGGTTAGTGCACTCCCCACTTCTAGTAATGATTGTGGATTCACTTTCCTTTTGTATAATGTCAACTCCTGGGTGCGAAGTCTGTTTCCTTTTTGTCATCCAGCACAGGGCTCGGCATTTAATAGTGCTCCATAGATGCTTACTGAATTGACTAGTAGTAAGGTGTATTTATAAGAGAAGTCTTCTATCCTTGTACTTTGTTAAAATAAGTGATGTGACTTGATGTGACTATATTCTATTCTTCTTGTACTTTGATTAAATCCTGCCCTATAATTTATTATCTTTAACATTTTTGTTTTCACTTAGCTTGTATAAAAACAAAGGAAGAGCAGTACTCTATGTGATGAGTTGAGTGTTTTTAAAACTAATTTTTTAGTTGCTTTATTATCACCCAATTTTATTTTCCTCTATTCAGAATGAATTAGTGAAGTGAATTTAAGTGACTGCCTTGATTTGTCACCTATATAATCTTGAAGAACATTTGTGATAATTATTGACAAATTATTTTAAATTGAAAGTTAAACCTGTTAAGTATTTCACAAGCTATAGACTTTGTCTTTAATGGTAACATCTTTTTGGTAATACATAAAACAGGTATAGTGGAATTTCAAATGATCTTGGCTGTGTTACAAAAGGAAATTCCTATTACTAATTTCTTCAGTAGGTAATGAGATATATTATTTATGATTATTGTTTCCTTCAACCTCCTCATTGAAAATACTTCTAATTAGTTGAGAAAAAGTAATTAAATACAAGTTATTTTTAACAGATGTCTACACAAATAAATGAGGCCCCAGAAAGGCAGCGTGGGATTGAAAACAAGAAAGAAAGACAAAAGTCTCTAAATCTGGAACTGCCTTGGGTCTCAGCCTGTGTGACTGGGGGCCTTCATTTCTTCTGTCAGAAAGTGAAGATCACACTTGTGCTGCCTGCCTCATAGTTGAAGAGAAAGCTCTTTATAAGCTCTAATGTCCTGTGTCAATGGGAGCTATTATGTCAGCTGTGTTTTGATTCAGAAGACTCCAATGAAGTCTCACTCTGACGACATAAGAGGGCATGGCAGTGTCCTAGAACCCTCAAAGGCTGTTTGTGTAGAGTTTGAGTTCTCCCTTGTCCTGCCAAATTGGGAAAGACTTGGGGTATACAGCCCACCTGATATAGACTGTATGCCTATCCTCTGAAGATTTGAAGACCCTCCTTCCCAGAAAGTTGGCCGCCAAGAGGTGAAATTCTGCTAAGGCATGGAAAAGTTGTGAATTGCATTGGTACCCACAGTGATAAGGCAATACTTACGTGAATCATCCCTGTTTTTTACAGTATTTTTCTACATTTAGAATTACTGATTAGTGAAAGAAATTGACAGTGCAGTTACAATAAAACACCTTGTTCTTAAACTGAATATTCTCACTAGCCGTCTTTTCTTTCTTTCAGGGAAAACGATTAAGTATTCAGAAAACAAAAAGTAAGTATTTTGACATCTTTAAAAGTGCTTTCTTTTTAAAACAGAAGTTAGTGGAATTATATCAACAGGCCTTTTATGATAATCTGTGGCTCTGGCAGCAGAATTCAAGCCTGGAAGTCAGAAAAACTAGACTCTTTATGAAGCTGCCACATGTTAGCAGTATGGTAGTGGGTTAATTACTTAATATCTCTGAGACTCAGTTTTCTCAGCTGTAAATGGGACGTACCATTCCTCCTTTTCCTCTGGGTTGTTGTGAGAATTAAATAAATTCATGTCTATGATAGCACTCTTTAAACTGGTGATATTATTACCATTTGGGTATTGGATTAAAAGTGGTAAACAGGATAAGTAACCTGTAGACTAGCTATAAAGAGATGAAAATGTGCCATTAGGATTATTTTGTAAAGATCTTTGCCTGTGGATTTATTTGTATTTAACAATAAAGGAATGTTTTGTGTGTTTCCCAGCAGGAAGGCTCAAAAAGCCATTTGTAAAGGTAGAAGATTCAAGCCAGTAAGTACAAAGTGTGAGATCAAAGTAAAAATGGAGGAAATAGTTAAGTAATTTTGTTTGAAGGTTTCTACTCTCCAATTTTAAAGGAAAAAACAAAGGTTGTGCAGTTACATTCCATAAAGTACATTTAATTAGAGAAAAGACAGGTTTCAAAATAGGATTTGATTCAGAATAAATGCTATGTAAAGGCAGATTTGAGATAGCAAATATGAAGATGGCTTATCTGATTACTTTGCAGTGGCAATTAGAAATCAGACCTGATAAAACCTTACGGGTGATGTTTCAAATGTTTATATGAAAAGTCAGGAGATGTGTCCTTCCCGTCCCACAGCCCCTGATCACTAGCCTGTCTTCCCCCTCTTCTGGACTGTGAGGTGTGCAGGAGACTGCTTGGAACCTCCTCTTGCCAGATGCCTGTTCCATCTGGGATTTTTGTTTTATTATTTTAACTACAATTTCTCTACCTGGAGTTTTACAAGAACTATCACCTAGAACTGTTACTTTCATCATTGTGTGGTAGGAATGGTTTTGAGGTAGGATTAAATATAAAGGCATCAGGTCCTAGTGGACCAGAGCTGGCCTTAGAGTCAGGATGACCTGGGCTCAAGTCCTGCTTCATCAAACACACACTAACCATGTGGCCTTGGACATGTCACAACCTCTCAGTGCCCCCGGCAGCTATATAGGAATAAGAGTTGTAGAGTGAGTATAGATATGCTTTGGTAGAAGGACTTTCCTCCCTTGAGATTCTGTAGGTCAGTCAAATCACAGTTCAAGTCTGAAAAAGACACACGTCTTCAGTTACCTGAGAGCAGACTGTGCAAGCGGCTGTTAAAACTAATTTTGGCAGAAGAACCCTGAGGACTGACCGCACTTTTATTCACTAATCAACAAGTATTAATTGTGGTACAGTGGATAGAACACGGGGCCTGGAGTCAAGAAGACCTGAGTTCAAATCCAGCCTCAGACACTTACTAGCTGTTAAGTCACTTAACCCTGTTTTCCTCAGTTTCCTCATCTGTAAAATGAACTGGACAAGGAAATGACAACCAAAAAACCCCAGAGGGGGTCATGAAGAGTCAGACATGACTGAAAATGACTGAACAACATGTACAATGTGTGTGTGCTGAGCGCTGCATCTCTGCTATGACTCTTACTGGAGACCAGAGTTCCTAAGAAAGAATTTTGAATTAGGACAAGTTTTTCCAGTTGCTCTTCATTTAGGAAATGCTTGAAGCATCTGGTGAATATCCCTCTGGGGCTGTGGGTGCCGCTTACACAAAGGCTCTGCTGGTTTTAACCCCGATGGGAATGGCTGTCTTCATAATTGTATTATTCTCATAGGTCAAAGAAAACCAGGCTTGAGGTTAAGTGTTTTCAGAAGATGATGTATGTAGTCTGAGGCAGCATGACATAGCAGACGGGGCTGGCCTCAGTGCCAAGAAGACGTGGTAGATTCAGGTTCCATCGGGTCCCCAGCCCTGGGCAAATCCCTAATCTCTGAATGCTTGTTCCAGAGAAGCTGCTCCCTGCATTGGTTGAGGGAAGCCCCCACGTCCCCTGTATGTACTCGTAGGTCTGATTGACTCTGACCTTCTAAGCGAATGTATGATGCGTTAATAGGTTATTTATAGCTAAATGAAATATTTGGTTCTGAAATATACAACTTCTGTTTACAAAAGTTGTATTTGTTTCATTTCACCTTAAAATTTCTTTTTCTCCCCATCTTCCAGCCATTACAGACCATTTTACCTTCAGCTGCCCAATATACCTCTTATAAACTATTCTGTTCCTAAACCCTGCAGTCCTTTTGATTTGGGTAAAACGTCTGGTCTGCAGAAACAAACACAAGCTAAACAAAGGTTGGTTTGAATATTTAATTTTAATAATTATATTCTATTAATCTCTATTGTGCTATTATTCCAAATAGATCTTTGTTTTGAAGCTAAGCAGGTTGTACCTGATTGAATAAGAAACCAACTGTAGGTGCTGCAGGCTTTTCTGTTTTTGCAACACACACCCCCATCCCCACCACTCCCCAAGTTTCCAGCCCCGCTTCATGTATTGTTTACTCCTGTTAAAGTGCAAGTTCTTCAAGGGCAGGGACCGGCTTCCTTGGTTTTCCTGCTCATGTTTGTGTCCCCTATACTTAGTATGGTACCGGACAGAGTCAGGCATTAATAAATCTTCCTTCCTCCCAGCCTCGTCTAGTCCTTGAGCGTGGGAGTCCTCCAGGGCTCAGCCCGAGGGCCTCATATCTTCTCTCTCCACCAGGGGTTCGTAATCTTTTTTGTGTCATGGATTATCTTTGGCTGATAGAGCTTAATGCTACTATGGTGTTTTACCTGTATTCATAATTGAAGAAAATGCTCATTTTCAGTTAAAGGTTAGTGAAATAAAGAAAGGTGTTTTCTTATCCATGTTCTTGGAGTCCCTGAAATCTGTCCTTGGACCCCTAGGCCTGAGAACAAGGCATCCTGATCTACACTCTTGCTTATTCATTGGCTTCCTTGGGTTCAGTTGTCATTTCTGCAGATGACTCTCAGATCCATGTATTCTGCACTAACCTAGATCTGTCCCTCTTCCCAACTTCTTTTCACGTTTCTTTTGAGGACTTCGACGCGCTTCTAGTAACCCAGGTTTACAAGCTAAAGCCACCCTTAGGTGCTTCCACTCTCTCACTCCCATGTCCAAAAATGATAAGTGGTATTTTTATAGTCTTTTAAGCTTTGCAGAAAGCTTTATGTGTTTTATCTCAATTGATATTTACAGCAACCCACTGAAGTGAGTGTTGGGCACATTTTACAGATGAGGATACTAAGGCCTAGAGTGGTTAAGGAACTTGGTGCCATTGCAGATGCCCTTCAAAAATGGGGCAAGAGCCCAGGTCTCTGGGTGACTTAGACGCCTGCATCCAGCCCAGTACACCATGTAATTCTGCTTTCACCCCATCTCTTGCATCTGTCTTCTCCACTGCCCCAGCCATCCCCCAGGTGCAGGCCCTTATCACCTCTCACTTAGCCTGTTGTGAAATAACTTCCTAGTTGATTTCCCTGCTTCTAGCGTCTCCTCTCTTTAGTATGTTCTCCTAACAGCCCCCAAATTAATAGTCATGAAATACAAGTGGCTCTGTTTTGTCCAGGATAAAATACCAATTTCTCACCTTGGCATTTACAGCAGATGGTTTTACTGGGGTGTGGCTGCTGCGCATGCTGTAGCTTCTTGGAGCCCCAGGTGAGAGTTGGGTGGTAGGTGGATGAGCAGCCCTGAAAAGGGCTCAGCAAGCCCTCAGTTGAGGATAACCTACAGGCCTCAAACGCTTTGGTGAGTTGGGGGGTGTCTGCCCCGAGCACATGAAGACTTCCTCCCACTGAATGGGCAGGTGAGAACAGTTTGTTCCAGCAGCCACAAAAGTGGCTGAAGCAGGTGCTGTAGTCAGAATTGACTGAGCTTGGTCAGACATCCAAGACGCCAAGGTCATCCACTGCATCCTGGGCCGTCGCCAGTCATCCTGACTTTTGTCCTGCCACTGGACTTGGATGACTCTGGAAGACAGAGCGAGGCTAGTGACTTTGTACAGCTCTGCCTGACTGAAATCCAGTTCACTCACAAGTCAGGAGACCACCCCATGTTGTCATGGTCCTCTTCAAAAACAACAGAATATAATAGCTAACATTTCTATCGCACTTTTAGGTCTACAAAGCGCCTTACAAGTATTATCATTTGATTCTCACAACAGTTCTGGAAGGTAGATGCTATTATTATTTCCACAAATGGGTAAACTGAGATCAACAAAGCGTCACAGCTAGACAGTGGATAGAGCAGTGGGCCTGGAGTCAGGAAGTCCTGAATTCAAATGCACCCTCTGACATTTGCTGGTTGTATGACCCTGGACAAGTCAATTCACTTCTGTTTGTCTCAGTTTCCTCAAGTGTAAAATGGGGGTAATAGCACCAACTACCTCCCTGAGGATCAAGTGAGGTAATATTTGTAAAAAGCACTTGGCTCATAATAGATGCTGTGTAAATGGTTATTCCGTTATCTTCCCTCCCTGTAAGTGACTGCAGTGGGATTTGAATTCACTTCCTCCTGACTCCAGGACCTGCACTTTATCCACCATACCACTTTGTTGCCTCACTTAAGACTTTCCACATCCTAGAGCAAACCTTATTTCATCTTCTCCTCAATTCACTCTGGGTCCTAGCCAGATTGGAGTACTACTAGCTGTTCCCCACCCACCTGGACACTGCCATCCCAACTCCCTTTACCCTCTTGGGGTCCTTCTCTGTTCTGTACTGCTGCCTCGGCTCTTCTGTGAACCTTCCTGTCCCTCAGATGTTGTATTTGCTTGCGAAAGTGGAGAGTCGGGTGTGAGCTTCCTGAAAGCAGGGAACGTTTCACTTTTGTCTTCTTATTCCCAGCCTCTTGCATGATGACTTGGAATTACTAAGTGTTTATTGAATTAGATTTTGTGTCATCTAATTTCTTAAGCTTATTATGGGTAACATTTTAAACAAAATTTTTTTGTCATAACTTGCAAATGTATTTCAAGCAGTGTATTTTATACTGCTCTTTTCTTGAGTACTTCTAATGTCCATGATGTTTAAAAATAATAGTTTATTAATTGGTTTGAAGCATTTCTTTAAATTTTGTTTACATTACTAGCTTGTTCTATGAAAAAAAGGTTTTGCTAAGCAAAAGGAGTCATTTTCTGTGAAAGTAACTTAGATTATCTTTCAGGATAGATAATAGAGTTTAGTATCTTTCTGATATGTATATGACTATGACAATTATAATAACTCTTCTTGTTTTTCATTTTCAAATGGAAAGTTGTGTCCTAAAAGTTGAGGGTTAACCCTAAGTGCAGATGTGCGTGGGGCTTTTGCCCCATGTCCATTGGAAACACTTGCCTTCTAACAGGAACAGAGCTGGCTGTGAAGCCGATGAAGGGTGCCGCCCTCCCGTGCAGCCCCGCCTCCGAGAGAACCAGAAGAAGGGATACTGCGAGTGCTGCTCCCAGAGATACGATGCGCTGCAGGCCGTGAGCTTCCTCTTGTGTTTGGACGAAGGACCATTTTTAAAACTTCTTATTAGACAAACAATGTATTTTCATATGGATTTTCAGTCTTTCCATGATTTAAAACTTGACAAGTATAGACAAAATAATTGAACAGAAAATTTTAGAGCCAAAATCAACTGTCAAATTTATTACTTATTTTTAAAAAGCCAACATTTAAAATTTTCAAAAATTTTTGGTCTAGCAGCTCTCAATCCCATGTGACATTCCATAAAAATCATAACATTTGTATTAATTTGATTACCTTTTTATTTAAATTGCATAATTTGTGTAAATTCAACAATATTGCTGCTTTTACAAAAAGGATCCTATTCCCATTATTCCTGGCATACCTGCACAACCACTGAGAGTGAGTCTGATGCTGCTGCTCTAGAAAGATGCCAACACTCTGTGCTAGGAGGAAGAAATACAGATCTTCCCCCACAGAAGGCCTTGAGCTTGAGTTTGTGCCACTGAATTAGCCGTCAGGACAAACGAGCCCAGGGCCTGCAGCAGAGAACAGGACCAAAGGCGTTTTTTTCTGGGCGGCTCGGCTCTCCTCCCTCTTCCATTTCTGAGATGTTTCTCTGGACACTTGCGTGTGATGGAGCCCTTAAGAGAACTGGGAGAGTAGTCCTTGGCTTAGGAAAAGCACATGCACACAAACAGACAGATTTCTCAGAGCCTGGTCCCTTTCTGCTTTTCCTGACTCCCTGCTGTTCACCCACTCCTCCATCTCTGCCTCCTGGCTCTTCCCTCTCTTCTAACCCCCTGCCTTCTCTGAGATTACCTTCCCTTAGCAGAGGGGCTCGTTTAGGACAGGGGGCTGGCTTTGAGCTTTCTCTGTGTCCCCATTGCTTAGCACGGGTACTGACACACAGTGCTTCATCAGTGCTCATTGACTTGAGGTGGTCTAGCTTGACTTGCCTAAAGTCACGGGGGGCAACCACCAAAGTTCAGGCTTCCATTTGTAGTAGGAATTTGAGGGAATAAATTTATGCTCTGAAATGTCCATATAAGGCATATTATTTTTTAAAAATTCATCAAGTAAAACAGTATTAAGCGGTAGCATTATAAAAGGACCCTGCATGCTGCATGTAACTTCCCTTATCTGATGCAAGCAAATGTTACAGGTGTTTTGGAAAAGTTCCTGAGAAGAAAAATCTTCTAGAGTTTTCTGAATGGTCCATTCAGGATGCAATTCTCTGGATCTTCTCGGTGAACTTCAGCTCTTCTCACCTCCTTTTTGAAAAAGCAATATTGTAGATGGACTCTATCCACTTGTGGCAGCTTTAATATATTTGATTGGTGACATCTATTTATTCAGCATTAAACATCTTTAACCTTAAATATGCCTTCATTTCTAATATTTTGTGAGATTTAAGCATTTAATTTTTTATATTTTGTTCTTCTCTGGATCCTCCACGTAACATATTTATTGTAGGATCCAGAATTGGACAGAGTGGCCTCTGGAATTACTTCTGGATCAGAATTATCCTGTGATTCCTCCTTTAAATACTTGTGTTGACGCTGACCTTGGAGGTTCAAAACAACCTCCCCCCCGACCCCCTTGCATTTAACCCTTCACAACTAGAAAACTTTGTGACTTTTGGCTTCTCGGTGGCTCATTTTATACCTGTAAAATTAGTATGAATGCTAGCCTTTCTCTACTTAAGGAAATGTCATAAAGATAAAAATGAGTAATAGAGGAGAAGAGTGATTTTAAGATGCTCCCAGATATTAAGCACTGACTTGTCTTCAGCCTCTTGGTTACTTGGTGATGCCTGGCTCCTGTTTGGGTTCAGTGGGCCTCATCAGTTACCTGCACTGAAGGGCCACAGACTTCTGAAACAGTTGATCTTTTCTCTCAAAAACTCCACTTCTGCTAAACTTTTTGTAACTTTGGCTCTTGGAGGCCTTTCCTTAAAATATTAGAGAACCTTCTTGTCATGAAACATGTTAAGGCAAGATGACATTAGGAAAACAGCCTGACCAGAAAGGTTTTTCATTTGTTTTATAATTTGCTGTGCTGCATCCCTCATGTGCTTCTATTTTCAATTTTAGCATCTTCTAAGTGAACAACACAGAAGCTTTGCACAAAGTACTCAGTATCAAGTTGTTGATGATATCATATCCAAGTTGGTATATGACTTTGTAGAATACAGAAGCAATATATCCAAAAGGTAATTCTTTATTTAGATATTTTAATTTTTAAAAAATCAGTTGGTGGTAAATATATTGTTATTTACATTTGGGGAGGGGGGAATTACATATATTCAGATTTTCAATTGTCGTACATACCAGACTTCCAAAGAATTCCAAATTTCTGGTATCGTAGGCCTTAGAAATGCACATTTTGCTAAGATATATTTTCAGGGAGTTAACATTTCTTAAACACTGTACATAGTGTGAGGGGTATAGAACTCTGAAGTTTCAGGGGTTTTTGGTTTATTTTTTTCCTGGCTAGAATAGCCTCATAGAATTTTATGGTCGGTTCCTTGAAAAAATGCTTTTTCAAGTCTAGACCTGTTAATTTCATTGATATCGTGAGCTCCTGGGTAACAGCTTCCTCTCCCAGTGCAGGTCAGCACCTTCTCTGTGACTTAGAGTCTTGGAGAATTGTCCAGCTCCCTGAGAGGTTAAAGGATTGATGCAGCTCACACTGCCAGTTTTGTATCAGAGGCAGGACTGGAACCTAGGCCTTGCTGGTTTCTGGGCTAGTTCACTATGTTTCCTTTTTCCATTCAAGTACAGAATCTTCAACCTTAGGTGACAACAAAAATCCATACACAGAATAAAACAGATTTAATGGCACCTATTTAAAAATTAAAACAAAAAAAGCTAGGGCATTTATTTAGGGAGATAATGGCAAACCAGCTGGGAGTGGAATTCCTAGATTTCCCTTAATGCAGTCTTTCTGCTGCTTGGTTTATGTAAGATAGTTCCAAAGATATTTTGGTAGTTTAAATTTTATCTTGACTCCTCAGTAGATAGTCGAATATTTTTTCTTTTCTTTTTTTCCCTTGTTTAAAGAGTAAAATGCAGTATTGGATCTTTTGCCCCTGTCATTGGAAATACTTTTAAAAGGAATGAGCCTGAAAAACAACTGGAATTGCACTGTGTTTCCCCAAATGACTCTCAGGGAAATACTACCAAACAGGTGATAAGACAGGATTTCCAGTATCAAGAAAGCAAGGATCCTTCACAGAAGATTGTCTTCAATTCAGAGCCCATAGATTTATTTGCTTCATGCAGTCCATGTCCTTACAACTCAACAAGCAAACTTGGAGAACATTTGGACTGTGGAAAATCTTATATAATAAATCCAGTGAAAAAGGACATGAAGCTGGATTTGGTACAGCTACCTCTGAATAAAGATATGCAGGGATATACTCCTGAAGTTTCTGACCATAAAGGAACTATGAATGAAAAAGACTTAGAAGAACTAAAAACAGAATACTGCCCATATATCCTAGAGACATTTATGCACGTTTCTGATTTTGACGAAACAGAGAAAAATGTGTCTCAGCTGAAACGAAAGTCAGATAGTATGATTTTTCCAGGTACCCATCAGAAGAAAAAAGGCACTAGTTCCCCACATGGTAATGGTTCTAGTCTTAGAGTCATTAGCAATTCACCAGAACAACCTACTGGTCAAGTCAAGATAATATCCCATAGTCATCCTGGTGAAGAACCCAAAGCATCGGATGTTGAGAGTACAGACAGTTTGCCTTCCGGGAAGCTGCATCGAAAAGTAAAAATAGTATTAAGAAGAAACAAAAAAAGTCAGAAGGTTGATGTACATTTAAAGAATAAAACAGAATCTCCTGCTGCAAAAGAAGAAGACAGTGTGTGTAGTTCACCAATAAAGTCTGTGGTGGAATTATTTCAGACCAGTGAAGACAGTTCTGAGTTTCTGGGTTTTACAAGCTATTCTGAAAACCACGGTTCACATGACACATTAGAGGTTTGGGAGAAAGAAAATGAAAATAGTTTGTTGTCCGTGTTTTTCTCTAATCCGTCTTCAACCTCCACGTTTACTGGGTTTTAGAAGAGTTTTTTGTTTTTGTTTTTTTTTTTTAATTTGTATTTTTCACAAATGGCGAGGATTATATTCCTGAAAATATTTTTATATATATGTAAAAATTCTTGTTTTATTATTTGTGTGTCATCTGTACATTTTAATAACCAAATGTAAATATTAAGAATAAAGATGATTATTAGTATTTTCTTAAGAATTAAGTACTTTTATGTAAGTAAATGCAACTGAAGTTAAGGTGTCTGCTACCTCTTGCATATTGTGTACATAATTTCTAAATAAAACTGTTTCTGAAGGAGCAGTTAAATAGAACTTGCACTGCAAGAAAAATGACTTGCACTGGAGAAGGCAATTTTGAGTAACTATGGAATTCATTTAAAAACTTAGTGTCTCAAATTTGGGTGTTACAATTAAATCTGTTTAAATATCAGATCTGGGACAATATGCATACCACTGAAAACTACGTATCATGGTAAAAGGAGCATGTTTTACAAATTATATTGTGCACATGAGTGAGTGCTGCCTTGGGAGCCATGTTTGGGACCAGTGAAGCAATGCTCTAAGTTATGTCACCTTGATTTGTCCTTTGATTTTCTTGAAGAACTGAGTATATGCCAGTACAATAAAAAAAAAAAAAAAAAAAAAGGCTCCTTAGTGGATCTGATTTTTTTGATTCTTCAGAGTGCTTGTGCAAGTTGGCAGGCTTTTCATCTCTTTCAACAACCTTAGCAGAGGTGGGGTGGTTGGGAGGAATTAAGGGAAGATAGTGTGTTCGGATCTAGTAGAGCCTAGATGCCTCACAAACATCCCAGTAAAGTTCTGAAAATGTGCAGAAGGAACAAGGGAGGGGGAGGAATAAGCATTTATATGCCTACTATGTGCCAGGCATGTTAAAGAAAACCAGAGATTCATCTCCAAACTGCTCCCATCTGTTCCAGGATTGCACAGAACCCAGCCGCTGTCCTACAAAAATGTGGAGCAGAGACCAGCCAGGGTAGATGGAAGGTGAAGTGAGAAACAATCTGATTCCAAAGCGGGAAAAAATGAGCACCCACAGAGAGGTAGACACAGTGGCAGGAGAAGGGGCCACCTGGGGTCCGGGCTCCAGGACCTGGACCTGAATTGGGGCAAATATACTGGAAACAAAGATTCACAGTTAAAATTAGGGGATAGAGTAGAATCTGTTACATTTTAAGCAATCTCAACAGTGATGATTTCCAGCAAGACTTTAATAAAAATAGACCAGACAAAAAGAGCAGGGAAACTTATGCTTTAAGTCACCAGTCAGTAAGGTGTGTCCACTGAACTGTATATTATCTAAATACTTACAGGGAAACTATCAGGTTGCAGGGAGAAAATAGACTTAGCAGTTGGTGATTTAATGTGCTTTGAGATCTGGACAAATTTAACAAGATTTTTTTTAAAAATTAAGTGAACTTGAGAAAAATTTGAGATGATAGCAGAAGTGTAAAGGTCAAGCATGAGTTAAAAGAGGAGGGGACAGCTAGATGACGAAATGGGCACCAGGCCTGAGTCAGGAGAACCTGAGTTCAAATCCGGCCTCAGACACTTGATACTTACTAGCTGTGTGACCCTGGGCAAGTCACTTAACCCCAATTGCCGCACCGAAGAGAGGAGAGGGCACTCCCAACCCATCCCTTTAAGGAGGCGTGAAGACCATAGGTGTAGCAAATACTGATGTTTTCAGACTTCTCCAATGTATCGATCGGTTTTGTTACCTTTCTCATTTTGTTTTTCCAAAAATGTTATATGGGATGGCCCTCAGAAGGAGAAAAAGGGATACTGAGGAAAGCAATGATAATGTAAAAATGAAACAAAAAGTACAAACTATAAAATATTTGGGACTCATCTACCAAAAACTCATTGGAAGCTATAGGAATGCAATTACAAAACATTTTTAGTGGGAAAGGGAGTCTAGAATTACAAACTCTCAAACTATATAGTACAAAACAATTATCAAAATGATTTGGTATTGGCTTTTTAAAAGAAGTCCATCAGTCCAAGTCAGGTGCATAGCATACAAAAGCAAATAGCATGGTGTATGATAAACCCAAAGACCCCAGTCACTGGATATTTGACCCAAAAAAACAAAACTGGGCAGAAGTCAATGTGCAGCAGGGAAATGCTATGGATAGGAAAAAGTTCATGACCAAACAGTGGGTAGAAAGGATCACAGTAGGTAAAATGGACAGTCTTGATTATATAAACTCTGAAAGGTTTTGCACAACAAGACCAGCGTGGTTAAAATTGGGTCATTTAGTCAAACGTTATTCTGCTGTGCAGTTGGCACTGTATTAAGCACCAGGGTAAAAGAAGGCCCTGCCCTAAAGGACCTCACAATCTAATGGGTGAAGACAACCCATAAAAATACTGAGGAGAGTAAGGACAATGAAGGTGGGGTGGGGGCTGCCAAAGTATGAATTTGAGGGTTGATGCGATGGTCTTGCAGGAGCTGAGTTTCTGGAGACCATGACGAAGTTTGGGACAGCAGCCAGGAAGGAAAGGAGGTAACAAAAAAAATCTTTTTGCAAGTCGCTCTGATAAATGTCTCATTTCCAAAATATGAAAGGGACTGATTCAGATTTATAAATGGCTTTTCCCTAATAAATGGTTGAAACGTATGTACAGTTTTCAGGCGAAGTCCTGGAAACAATTGTATGAAAAAAGACTCTAAATCACTAATAATTAGATAATTGAAAATTAAATCTGATGTTCTGCCTCATATGCAAATTGGAGAGTGGCTAAACAAATTATCTGAATGTAATAGAATATTATAGCGTCGTAAAAAAAAAAAAATGACCAAATGGATGGTTTCAGAGAAACCTAGGAAGACTTGTATGAATTGGTGCAAAATGAGGTGATCAGAACCAGGAGAATAATTTGTACAATAACATAAAGAAAAAGACATTAAAGCACTTGGGGACTCTGCCCAATGAAATGATTATGATCCTAGAAGACTGATAATGAAGTTGCCTTTGATACTTTACAGAGAAGTGATGGACATTAGTTATAAGACATGAATTTTTAGACACCACCAATGTGGGATTTTTTACATTTTTTGCTCATCTATGTATTTGTTGCAAGAGCTCTACCTTTTGCAATTGGAGCGGAAGGGGTAGGGGGTTAACAAAGTAGGGAGGAGAGGGGAGGGAGAGAGAGAGGAGACAGAAGGAGGGGGTGAAAGGGAGCATCAAGGCATTTATTTTTTTTAAAAGACAACTGAAGGGAGTCCATAAACAAGCACAGACAAGTAGACAACTTTGAAAACTACAGGTTGAATTTACTATATAATGAGAAAGAAAAGCAAGCACCTATTAAGGTCTGCTGTTTCATTATTCAAGGCTACTATGTGTATGGGAATGCCCATTTTATTTGGTGTTTAAATTCAAAATAAAAATTTTAAAAATCAGTAATAGGTATGGACATCAATTGGTTTAATAGGGGTTGGGGAACTCAAATTTTACTAAAGATCTACATTTATTACAATCACCTAGTAATACTAGGATGAGCCTTTGTTAATGATATTTTATTATATCAAAAATGTCTTGGTCAGGGTAGAAAAGAGTTATGTAATACATAATTTTAGTTTATTTTGGAAATTTTGCCTTTTGCAAATCGTAAATAGAAACTCTGGAAATAATTTCTTTTGACCCTTTCTCAAAGTTAATTGAGGTCAGCTAGATCTGCCTCAATGTTTTCCCCTCTTGGTATGGAGCAGTATATATGGAGGAAAAATTGTGTTACACTAGAAAAGTTGTAGGGTTATTTTTGTTTTGTTTTGTTTTAATATATATGGAAAGATTGTCTTTTACCTGGAACTTGATAGCGTAATTGTCATGGCGGGAAGGGAGAGAGGCATTTGCAGATAAAAGTAAAGAAGTGGTCAAAATAATTCCTTTGACTAGTGTACACAAAAGAGATGACTGAAAGTAACTGGGTTAATTTTATGTTTGACTGAACAAAAATGAGTTGCCTATTATGTTTTAGGCACTTGGGTACACAAATGTAATCGTGATTCCTCTGGCCCCCATTGCCTGAAGTTTAGGTGTGTTACATTTCACCTCTCAGCAGGTTTATCCAATACCTGTAGAGGTGTGGGAGAAGAGCTCCCATATTATCTTTGCCATTGGCTCAAGCCTGCACTCAAACCTCCCCAATGTTAGGATGGATCTCTACTCCAAGTGCCCCAATTCCATTTAACTACTTAGATCTGCATTTACAAAGGAATATTGACTTCCAACGTATGATAAAAACCAAGCATTCAAATATTCTCTGCCCAGCTCCAAGGAGCATAATCCTCGATCTACACCACTTGGGTTTCTGGGGAGGGGAGAGGGATTAGTTTGGTTCAATTCCTACATTAATCCTAATAAGTTCCAAGTCCAGCCCTCTCCAGCCCTGCCCCAGCATCCCTGGATCCTGTATTCTCAGAGCTTCCCTGATGGGCAGGCAGCAAAATTGGCCCTGGAATCCTAGATCCCACAATCCCTGAGGCTTAAGTTCTCAGTTCAAGGATGCCCGGCACCTAAAACTCAAAAGGGCAAATGAAACAAGATTAAGAGCCCAAGCCTACTTTTTGGGCACCATGGTCTAAGGGGAGAACACAACCTTCAGCCTCTTCCTTTTTACTCCATAGTATCCATGAAGTGCCTGACACGAGTGAACAAATCTTTCACCCTTGGATGGCACCCAAAAGATAGAGATCAGGCCTCCATCAGGTAAATTTAGACAGATATACAGCTAATAAAAAGAGGCTGCTCCCACCCTGATGGTGATAGGCCAACACAAAATGTCATCCCAGAAGCAGGTCCCTGGCATCTCCCACATGGATATCTCTATCTTAGGTGTTCTGGTTATACACCAAAACCCTTGTTACACAAACAGAAAAAAATGGTATGACCCTGTGCATCAAGAAACTTACAATCTAACGGAGGACATTCAATATAAATAATAACAAGCATGGTAGAATATGATAGGAGCAAAGGAGACCTCTGTAAAAATCCTATGAGCTATTTAAGGTTAGAGTGGTGACTTTTACTTGGGGGACCAAGAAGGTCTGAGTTTGACCTCAACAGAAGAAATTTACCAGATAAATGGGAGAATCTCTTTTGGGCCAGAGCCAACCAGGCTGGTGTGGCACCTCAGGTTCAATCTTGGAACAAAGTGAAACCCTTAGAAGATGTGATAGTTAACAAGAGATTTACTTGGCCGCATCAAGGAGAAGGGTTTTGACCAAGGATATTTAGCAAGAATATTCCACTAATTCCGCTGAGCACCACTCTCCTGCCTCTGGGTTGAGTATCAAGCATCAGACCATGCTGCAACTTTTCAAGGGCTTTTTTTGTGCTTAGATAATCAGTAAGTGTTGGCTGCTGTCTGAGCCTTCAGTCTCCTGACCCAGTTCAACTAAGTCTTTTTTTTTTGAAAGAGCAATTTTATTAATGCCCCACAACAAAGTACATTAGTAATTTGTAACCAAGCATTAAAATTCTGAGTCTATGTCCTAAAGAGAGTAATCAATTTTCTTCATGATGCATTATGTTTTACTGAATTTTATGCATTGCTGTTTTACTGAATTTCTTCTAGATTGTTATTTTGCAGAAT